CATTTTCCCCTACATAAAGCCTTTGGCATTAAATCACAGTAGAGAGTTTCTCCCTCTTATGGCATGTGGCCAAACACAATTGCCCAAATTGCCTTCTCTGCCCTTACCATTAATTCTCTCAAGTATTTCAATGAGGAATATGAGATCAAGTGACATTTTCATTTAACTTCATTAAAAGAAATATTGTATAAGATTGAGCATGTATCTTGCTAAATATGTATTACCAAATACAGCTTTAATAATTACGCTTAGTTCCATAACTTTGTTCAGGCAAAAAATATAAATAGTCTTTGATACATGTATTATATTTTTGTTCAGAACTGGGTGTTCTCTACTACCAGACAAAGCAAGTCAGCAGTGGCACATGCAAATATAACAAGTTCCTCAGCAGCTGAATAAAAAAAAGGTATATGCTTTTCACAAACTACACACTTTTCAAACTCCATTAATTTCTATGGCACACAATAAAAAAGGTTAATAGGCTGTTAAATGTATACATTGCCATTTCTTTTCCATTTCCATGCAATACATGCAGCTAAATATAACTCAAGCAATATGCTCTGTAATTCATAGCATTTGAAGTATAGCAATTCTTAAAATGTCAGTTAGATACGAAAAACAAGAACCTGATAAATCCATTATACGGCAATAAAAAGGAGGAGGGGAGGAAGAAAATAATTAATTACCTCATTATTCTATCACCTATCGCTGTTCCTCTGATATTATATCTAGTAAAGGGAACAACAACTGAAGTCATTCAAAAATGATGGGTATCACGTTTTTAAAAGGTTAGCATCTCTTACAAAATGTGCTCCACGTATTCCAACTGAGAAGACTCCTTCTCCTCAATGTGTTAGTATATGAGACTACTTTGATTTCAGCAAAAAATAGTATTCAGGTTTCATAACAGTACACAAAGTTTATCTTACAAAATGCAGTAATTCTTCACAGATCACAGAACCAGCTGCGTAATCATTTCCATTTCACATTCATATTTGTTTGAAATTTTAACCTACTAGTTTAATGTTTTCCAGGCTTAGCCTCTGCTCATAGATCAGCTTCTGTCAAAGTCCAAACAAAATTAATTCAGTCATTTAAGTAGGAAAGCAGCCCTCAGAGAGTTGTTTTGACTAATTTGTGAAGATTAAGATCAGTCCATTAGAAACTGCACTCTCTGTGCAGGAAGAACATACATTTTGCACAGACTTCCCCCCCCCCACCCCAGATTACAAAGTACAGTGCTATGGAAAGCCATATTATTTATCTCTGTTTGCTGGACTTGGTAAATTTTAAAGAAGATGTGCTATGGGCATACTTTGAGACTCAAAAGCTTGCATATCTCCTCATAATTGTACAAGAAGGGATTTTTTCCTGTGGATTCTCTAAAATGCCCAGAAGGTTATTTGCTCTGTTGAGTATCTAGCTAAACTGCTCAGCTGTACAAAACAGGTTTCTTCTTTTAAAAATTTAGAAACATTCTGTGCACTTCCTTACACATTTTGTTAAAAAGAGCATGTATTGACTAGCCCAATGACAAATAAAAAAATTAAATAACTATTTAAGCTTCTTTTAGTCACTGATCTCCACCATTCCTACAGTGATGCTCAGAAGTTACAGAAATGCTACAGAAAAAAGTCAGATGTCACATTCTGAATTATTTGTTTCAAAGAAACGTCCTTCTGCATCAAAACTGTTCCTAGGCGATTCCTAGTCAATATTCAGTTGACTTAGTCAATTTATCAACCAAAGGATCGTGGTATTTCTACATATTTTGCTGCTACTATTATAAATCCTTTGAAAAATAATAAAGCAGGTGCAAACTTTGTGTTTCTGTATCTGTTGCACAGTCTTTCCTGACAGTTCAATTTCAGGTTAGTTGGTGAGAAGCTAGCTATCCTCATTGTATTTTTGATATTTATAAGCATCCACAAAGATTATGTCCCTTTTATCTATTTTTCTAATATGTAAGAGACAGAAAAAGAACCAGTCCTTGGTTTGAAAACATTAAAAGTTGGATTTGTGCCACAACAAAATTCAAATAATGGAAAGGAAGGGGAAAAAAAAAAGCACAAACAGAAAATCCCCAAAGAACCTCCCTCCTAGATATTCTAGTGAGAGAAAAATCTACTTTATTGTTTCTATATTAATACCATTAATTATCTTTTAGGAAGACACACTGGAAAACTAAATTATGAGATAAACTTGAGAAAATGAGATTTAGTAAAGGAATTGTTAGGTAACACAATTTACTAACTGAGAGAAGAGAAAATGTAAGCCTTTAGGAAACATACTGGTGGAGGTGAGCACCAGGCTTGCAGGCAGTTTTGTTTAATATATTGCTAATAGTCTTTGAGCAAAATGTAGGAAATGCACTCATGCAGTGCACTGAGGACATGGTGTTGGGTAACTTTACTAATACAGAGGGGACTGTAGGACCTTGAGAAAAAGAGGTGGGTAGGAATTCAGTAGTTTAAAATTGTCATACACTTCTGAGCTTCCTTCTGGTGAAAGATAAAAACACGTTAATTAGAAATGACAAAGTAGGAAAGACTTCAGTATACTAACTGATCTTGTGTCTGACTGCAAGCTCCCAGTATGAGAGAGCCGTAAGCAAGAGAGAAGGATAGAACTACAGCTCACTTGTGTCTCAGAGAATCTTCTCTAGACCAAAAGCAACACTCATACTGTTAATCCCAGGAAAATCCAAGTGGCGTCGTGTGCATGATTCTGACCTACCATATTCAGGGAACATGTGGAACATGGAGGAGCACAGACAGGAACCAGCATAAAGGCAGGAAAACCACAAATTTTTATTGCTAAGGGTGAGAAAAACTTGGCACTCAGTCTAGTGAGACAAAAGCTGAAAACGGCCAAGAGGAACATCATTCAAATGATAAGCACTGGGCATGGAAAAATTATTTCAATCAAAACAGTATGTTAGCACCAAATGACTAATTTTAGTCAATTTATACCTATTGGAGCAGCAATGTTTTGAGGTAGCTTCCCACTGGTTAAAGGGACAGGGGGATTTTATATAAATTTGATCAGTTTATGAACTGGATTATATGCTATAACAGTTGTCATGGTGGTAGTAGAGGACCTCCTGTTCCTTTCACTCTATTTCATATGAGATATAAATATGAAGAGGGCTTCTACCTAGCCTTTAAGACCACAAGTGCCTGCTTTCTCTCTGGAAATCCAAATTCCTTTGGGCACACAAAGGATGTCTTATTTTTCTTCAGTATCTCAGAGGACATTTAGATACTCTGGAAACCAGGAGAATAGGAGGGAACGTAAAGTAAAGGTGTATGTGACTGCTCAGAAGTTAAACTAGAAAACTTCACTGCTTGAACACACACAAAAGCAGAACAAAATAAATTGGTCAGGCATTAAACCTGGAGGCAATCATAAACCAGTACTGAATATATAGCAACTTCTGTCAGATTTTATCTGGGGATAGAATAAAGGAGCAGGGGGCTGAATAAAGAATTCAAATTATATAATTAATTTAGTTGAATAATCTTTCCTATATGATAAGTTTAAATTGCTACAGGAAGAAATCTCACTGCATACAAAGAAGGAAAAAACCACATGTCCAATGAAGTGTAACGTCATTTAAGATGTCCTCACTACCAGGAAACTGTAACAGCTATATGATACCTGGAAGTGTCATTCTAATTACATTGCTACAAAAACTATTACTCTGTAGAGACAACATACAGTGCATGAAGAGAAGTTTGAAACAGAAATGGGATTTAAATTGCAGGGTTTTTCACAGCTTGCTCTTCAATCACTAGATCACAATGAACATTGGCTTAGCAGTGGAACTATTTCTGCCATGAGACATTTACCTACAGTTGCTTAGTACTGCATGGAAAGTTAATGGATGAATACAGAATCTGTATATATTGGCTTTTTCATAAAAACCATCATTTAGTGAGCAGAATTACTCATGCTATGTAATAAGCAACCACTGACTGTTCTTTTTGTCATTACTGACAACGTGGAGGCTTATGACTTTTTTTTTTTAACTGCAAATTATTCAAAACCTTTTCTATACACACCTATTAAATTCTTTCTGATTTCCTAATGAATACATATTGTAATTCTTCCTGTAAAGAATTTGCATTGCTAGCCTAAGAAATTATTAGCAAGATAACGCTGCCTTGGAACAGGAAAGGAGTAAAGCTGAGGCATCTGACACGAGGTTACATAACACCTAAAACAAGTTAAAAAAGGTATTTTCTTATGTCTAACAATAGAGATGTTGCTTAAATAATTATTACAGCTTTTAAAAAGTCTAAGAATTGAAATTAGTGAAGAAAGGTATTAAACCAGCAATACCAAACTGGGGGCTAAGTTTACTGAATGATCAAACGAGTATGTATGGCTGTTTATATTTTACAAGAAAAAAAATACACAAAGCTTACTAAGTGTGTCTTTTACTAATGAAGACAACTAGTAATCTACCTGGTTTTTCATGCCATACATACTCATACTCAATAACCAACAAAAGGAAAAGGATTACAGAGTTTCTCCTTCAGAGAAAAATAAGTTAAGTCTTAATGTATGTACTACAGACAAACACAGCATTGCTGAACAACAGTTAAAAGCTCTTGCTTTGCCAAAGTAAGAACACCTATAATAAAGTCGAAAGAAAATGTAGGTCCCTATACACAAATTTATGGACTTTCTGTACTCAGGATTACAGGGAGAATAATAAATTAACCGCAAATATTTAGCACTGGAGTATTCAGCAGGCAAAAAATAAGCACAAGCAGGTATTAGATCTGTAGGAGCTTGCCTGGCTAGGAGGGAAAATATAGCTATACATATCTTACATATAGGCAAATGAGAATCAGCCATCAAGCTCTTCACTAGTTGTCAAAGAACAACTTATTTTAATTAAGGATATGAGGCATGAGTTTCTACATCTTCCATTAAAAAAAAAGAAGGCATTTTGCCAAGCAATAGCAGAGATAAGTAAGTATTCCCCTAACCTGTGTCCTGGTCCTCCTCGGTACCTTGCCCCTGGGATGAGAACAGGATCATCATCACTATCATCAGTTTCTTGGAGAGCTGAGGTTCTGGTAGAGGACTCATCTGGAGTTGCAAGCCCTGAGGATTCTGGGTGTGGCTGAGGTTCGTCGTTTGCAGCAAGTGAGTTGGCAGTGGATTCAGTACTTTGACTTGAAATGTCTTGATTTGCACTTTTTTCACAGGAGGCTTCTCCTTCTACATTTCCAGAGACAGCATCAACATTGGGGCCATTTTCTTCTGGTTGGATTCCAGAATGCTCAGGACCAGGTTTATCTGATACAGCTAACAGAAAATATTGGGGAAAATAAACCACAGCATTAATGATTATAGCCTATTTTCAAAGATGTTATAAATGGTCACAGAAGTTAAATTATGCATACTGAGTTTATATTGTGTCTACTGAGTTTATATTGTAAATTTAGGTTTTCATTCTCTACTTCTTCATATAACTATATCTGAAAGAATACAGGTACATACTTGCTTGTGTCGTCTCTATAGTTTCATCTGTAGTTTTCAGTTCTTCAGCACTTGCATCTTCCTTGTGAGATTCATCAGGATCTCCTAAATTAAACAACTTAATATTAAATCACATTATTTTCTTTAGATGCACATCTATAATGTAAGCAAATCTAAATGATTCTAGCACTCCTATGTCAAACCAAAGAAAGCAATCCTCTCTAATGGCCACATGTCACTTGACTGAAATCTCAGATATGAATCATTTATCTAGCTGCCCAGGTCAATACACTAACAAAGAAAAAAGTCTTCCTTTCTTGGTCCTTAATATACTTAATATCCTATGTTATGAGACCTTTAGCTGCAAAAAAGCATGAATACTCTTGAAATAGATGATAATTTACTGAAAGTTATTTATTTCTGAAGCCAGAAATTAAGTTATCCCTCTATTAAAAGGGATTTATTTATTTAAAAAAAAAAACCCATTTCTCTGGAACCAGCCATTTGGCTCGACTGCCCTTTTAGCAATGAATTGAGCAAGATGACCATGTGTAACAAAACACAGTGAAAGCTTGAAGGAAATGTAACAAAACACCTAACACTCATTTATGACTGCAAAGTGCAGTTGTTCTATTTTTTTAATACAAATTGAGGCAGAATATGTTTTTAAGAAAAGAGAATAAAGGTTTTAGAACTAAGGACATAATAATTTAATTTTGTTTATATTTATTTGCAACTATCTCAGGTTGGTATTTTTTTCTTTCCTAAAAAACCTCATGTTCTATTATGGCTGTATTCTGCCTTCATATGCAAGTGAACAAGACTCCAATGGGTTCAGTGGTAGCCATGAACATATGAGAGCTGGACTTTTACCTTAACATTACAGAAAAAATGTTGTATCTTACTTGTTTCTTCATCTTCAGGCCCTGACTCTTCTGAGGCTTTTGTTTTCACAGATTCATCTTGGCCTTCAGATTTGCAATGACTTCCACTCCCTCTAGAGCTTGAATTTGTGCTGCTCCTGGAAACATAATATGTAAAAAATTATAAAACTTTAGATATTAGATATAAATAATGTAAATAGATAAGATCATTGCAATAGCACAGCCTGACCATCATCGCCTTCCTCACTGCAATCTCACAATTCAATGGCTCCTGGAAGCAGCTACAACTAACAACCTTCACAGCAATTTCAAAATTCTCTTTTATTTTGTCCATCACCACTCAGCCCACACTATTCCTCTGCATCACAGAACCCTTCCTATTTTTATTTTTGAACCTTTGAAGGATTTCTTCACTGCTTATAAAATATTGTGAGAACTCAAAAGGATTTACTCTTTCACCATTTACACATTTTTACATGTATAAATGATCAGAGACCTTATTAAAGGTATTACAAGCTGTCAGCTGAGCATCAATATATAATCTTATC